TAAAAGAATTAGATTGTCTCATATTGTATGTGATACGAAATCAAAGGGGAAGTGGTCGTTTAGGAAAAACACAAAAAATCGACGCCAATGAGGCTTAAATACGTTAATGATGCTTAATTAAGATAATATATGATAATGTCAAATAAGACGATAAGATTCTTTTACTGCTTGTTCAAAATAAATATTCAGATGTTTAACTTTACAAAAGGTCTTTTATTTACAAAAATTTTAAATACGATGGAACATAGAGAGTTGCCATAAGCGAAAACTAAAGTAAAACAACAAAAATTAAGTGGAAGTAATAGTAGTTACAGTCACGTGATATTGACTATAATAACATATTACAATCTCTAACACATACTGAAATAAGCTATTTACTAGAAAGCAAAATGACAATGATGCTTATGTTGGTTATATGTATTAGTTGAAATAAATAAAGTAATTTCTGAACTAAAAAGCAAAATTATTGAGAAAAGGTACTTTAGGTAACCGTAAAAAATCTGCATATTATTATTGACACTAATGCTCAATTAATATTTGATACTGTGTATTAATTGAAATAAAATAAAATAAGGTTTTGCTAAAAAGCCAAGATCATTTAGGAAAGATTAATGTGCCGCGAGCAATAGCGTCATGCCAAGTGATGCTAATAGATTTTAAGAAACAATATAAATTTCATGATAATTGTTGCATAATGTACTACATATATTTTACGAAATGTACTATTTGATACATTATTCAGCAAATGATAAATGTATTCGCGATCGCAAAGAACTATAGGGGGCGTTGTTGTATGAGACGCTTACCTGCGATTTCCATATGAACCGTCATTCAGTTACTCTGGAGACGTCGTTAATGTAGCGTGTAGCATTGCAACGTTCCTTCTTTAATGTGGCTTATTAAATTTAAAAAAGAAAAATGCTTGATCTTCTTTCTTGTACAACCGAAAACAAAATGGTATCTCTTTTTATTAGAGAAGGAATATCCAAAACACATCGGAAAAATATTTGTACATTAACAGAAAAAAATATGTATATTCTTATAAGAGTTAAAACCTAATGCCCGAGAAATAGTATTACTAAATTTAATGATATAACATGAAAGGCCCATTTAAACTTT